TCTGCGAAGTCTGCCAATAAATCTCCTGTGGCATTTTTACAGCCGATGCCATATTATCGCACTGTATGGCCTCCGGCCTCTTTTCTGTCTACTTTGGCATTAACATCGCCCATCAGAATAGCCTACTGCGTTTTTACTACATTATTTATTGGCTGACTCTAAGTCTTTATAGAAGCGTCCACTAAATGACCATGCCTTGATGTAGGCACGTAGGCCTGTACCACCTTTATCTTCTACCTCTTGCAAAACATAATTATGATACTTGCCACCCTCTGACTGACGGGGAATGCCCGTCGCTATCATTGTATATTCAGGCCCTTTAATTCATGACTCTGACGTATTATACATGAACACTGAATTTTTTTTCATGTGTAGTTAGGTCACTGTTATTATTTTTTTGTTATTGTGTTGCTTCCTTGTTTGTGTGAGTTTGTTCGATTTTTTCTTCTCAATATTTTATATTCTTTTAATTGATCCTATTTGTGGCATATCTCTTTATGTATTCGCTAACAGAGGTTTTAATTATTTCCGCGTTGTGGCATATCTCTTTATGTATTCGCTAACGAAGGTTTTAATTATTTCCGCAATACCCTTATGTAACTATTTTTGTATTCAATTGTACCCACTCCTGCCTAAGACCAAAAGATCAGACCAGCAGTAATTATAAATAAATAAATAAATAAATAAAACACAGTATTCCTCAATGTTGCCAGCGATATCCTTGTGTATAAAAAACCCACCCCTAGTTCATTTCTATTGTAGAGGAATGGGAGGCAGCACGGTGGCGACGAGCCCGTGCCGAGGTCACAGGTTTATTTGGTACGAAGGCGTAGGTGAAATCACCGCTGCAGCATTCAGCCAGGTTCCGAAGCTAGGCCCTTCTCTTCTAGCGCAGCTCGAGGTAGAATCAGCTCTGCGAGAGCCACGGCACGGTTCTCAGGGAATGATGATGATGATTATGATGATGATGACGACGACGACGACAATAATGATGGCATCACCGCCCCCCCCCCCCTAGCGCGTTGCGAGATGTGAAGGTATATAGGAAAAGAAAGTGCGACAAACACTGTATATAAAATTGGTATTCCGTAAGGAGCCCGTTGGGAATGCCAGGTTGTCAACATAAGTGGGCCATCGGGAACCGGGTCCCTGGTGGGCGGCTCTGAGAATGGCCTAGCGGTCGAAGGCCACGACGAAAGCACGCTGTTGGGAGGAGCGAGCATGGAAATGAGCCGTGGGCCGAGAAATTCTGCAGTGCTGTGCAATGAAAATGGCACACAAATAATCTCATGCGGTGCTGGCGATTCTTGCACACACTTGGGCCAAGATGTCGGGAAAACCGAGTGGTGCGTTTGCCTAGCATGTCTAGACGAGCTGGTTTAGCATTACGTCGGTGCAAACGTAGCCGAGACTGATGGGCGAAGTAAATGGCATGTCAACGGTGCTGGTAGCAGCATTGGTGACGGCAGATTGCTAGCTGCTGTTGTCTTGTCTGTCGTGTATGCAGGCGAGCTGCAAATAGTGTGCGGAAAATGGACGTGGCATGACCAGTCGTAGTGCGATTCCGAGCAGTTGTTAATGAAAGCACGTCAGCTGTACTCGGATGTATAGTAGTGGAGAAAAGCGCGTATGCGGGGTGGCTGGTGAGTCGTCTGCCGGCGTATCCAGTAGGGCATACGTGGTCTGGTTTACGTGCGGTGAGCCAGACGGCCGGTCCTCGAGAGTTTCGATTATGATTGCAGCATCCGGCTCGTACAGCAGTGGTAGGCGAGGGGCACGAACTTTTTTTGCGGTACACATCAAGGGTGGTGTTAGTGGCTGGTGGCAGGACGCGCAGAGCACCGAGGTCACTAGAATACAGCCTCGGGACACCGTCGACGCCGAAGCCTCCAGGAACACGGGGCTGATAGCAGAAGTCACCATGTCCGGGGTCATGGCAGACTCCAGGGCGTGCAGCGATGTAGTGGTCGTGGGGTCTGACATGTCACCGGGGTTGTGGGCCATGGAAGTCGGGCAGGACGTGCGAGTGGCGAGCATGCCTGGAAGACCGTCGGCCAGGGAAGTCGAAGAAACACCCCTCGTGGCGGACTGGTCGCATTCTGCCCAAATGTCGGGAACCTCGGCAGATGGGCAGTCGGGAGCAGGACTCACGTCGCTAGTGGCTGTCGTGGGGTCTCACGGCACCGAGGTGTCACGTGCCGTGGATGTCACGGAAGACGTGCAGGAGGCAGGCACGTGCGACAGACCTCCGTACATGGGCTCCGAGAGATCACTCCTATTGAAGGTGAGGGCAATTGTCGTGGGGGCATAGCCTATCTCGTCGGCGTGGCCAGAAGCAGGAATAGATGTGCTTGCGACCAGATCTGAGATGTTAGTCGTAGCTGGTGTGGTCACGTCACGGTCTAGGCAGGTATGAATGCAGGTTGATACCACCTGTTGTGACTCACGAGAAACCGGGAAGTCGTGGGTGAAGGGAAGCGGGCGGTAGATGAGGCCGGAGGAGGCCAGCACCGGAAAGCAGAGGTATTGTACGACTGCGGGCTCTCAAAAGCGGGGGTGGTCAACGTGGGCTCCTAGTTCTACATTCGCTTCATAACTGTCCAGGATCTACAGCTGCAGATCTCGCCCACCCATGTGTGTTGGTGCTACGCCCCCGATGGAACTACAAATCGGGCGATACGGAGCTGGTAAAAAATTCAATTACACTGGCATGTTAGCTCTGCACTGAAGAAATCCTGCACTAATTCAGTTGAAAACAGTTTTTCTGAGTAAATGCTAAAACTGAAACAAGGAAGCTAACCACGGGATGTCCGCTTAAAGGTTCGCAAGAAGCTCAATAAAAAATGAAAGAGATCCTGGTCATGGTTGTGACTTGGGTGAAAAGGCATAGCATTAGAAATTTGCTGTTCTTCCTTATATTCATGGTTTTGCCAGCCGCCTAAAAAAGGTTGCATCAGGATATGACGTACAAATGGTTATTTCTGCCAGGAACAAGTTATTCCCTTTATGTGCCGAAGTAGACAGACGAGCCGCCAGTCAGCAAAATGTAGAGCGAGATGTTATTCATGTTCCTGTGTCACCAGTGTTGTCTACTCAATACCTCTGTCATGCAAACGTGTATACGTGTGCCAAACAAGTCGCTGTCTAAATGATAGACTTTGAGAACATTTTCATTCCCTGAAAGGCCATTCGGGCTTTCGTCTAGGAGCCCACTGTAAGTGATGCGGCTGCGCTCCACTCTTCACGCTCTTCAGTGACACTTCCATGTTGTTCCAGCATCAGAACAAGAACGCGCGAGTTTATTGAGGCTGGGCACATTCAGAGGAAATCTGAGTCTTGCGACAATGTTTCCTCTGACAACATGCATGAACTTTACAGCGAGAGGCAAGATGAGGAAGATTCAGCTGAGATTTCACTGCTCACACACTTATGTTATATGGGTAATTTGAGATGATGAATCTGGAAGCACAGTTCTGGATGAATTCAAGCATAGTGGAAAGGTGAGCTTGATGAAGATCAAAAATGGTATTAGCATACTCTAGTTTAGGCCTGACGACTGCTTTATAAGCTATTAGTTTTGCAGCAGGTGCTGAAGCAAGGTTGCGACGAAGGTATTCAAGAACTCGATTAGCTGAGTTGGTGATGCAAATAATGTGTAAAGTCCATGTTAGATCAAATGAGATATGAACATCTAATTATTTGGTAGTGTTCATAGTTTCTATGGGGTAGTTGTGTAGAATGTAAGTGTAGGCGATGTAGTCCTTACATCGATACAAAGTCATTAGGAAGATTTCGTTAATTTCTAGGTACGTTAGCTAATTTTCACGCCATTGCTGTATAGTGTTAAGGTCCGGCTGTAAAACGGAGGAATGTGAGACACTATTTACAGGGTGATACAGCACGCACTCATCGGAAAATAGTCTAATATTAGAAGTGATAAATAAATAAATAAATAAATATTCAGTTGTTAGTCTGCGCTTTTGTGTTCTTTTTTTCTCCTTCCGTGTTTCCGTCCGTCCTTTACGCAGTGACATTATGCAGCCCGACATATGATCACGGCGAGCCTGACGAGCAACCAACAGCCAAGCTGCTCTTGGGCGATATAGCAGCTCCTCAGGAAGTACCACCAAAAAAAAGTGTACAACCACCAGCCCCACAGAACTTATAGCGTTCGCGAAAAACACTTTTAACAGCTTCGGAACACCGCATTTGCGTCAGCTGACTGTTGAGTCATTCGAACAAAGAGGAGACGGATGTTCTGTGTTGACGCTGGCCACTGATAACACCATCAGCTGATCCTGGTCAATCAACCAATTCCCAAAATGCGTGGGATCGGCCCAATTAAAAAAATTGGCCGCTCACCACATTGCAAAGTGCACACTGTGCCTCCTAAGCCATTCCTTTAAAGAAATCTGGCAAAGCTTTGGCAAGAACCAAAAGAATCACTGCACACGATGAGAGCTAAGAATGCATTTACCTGTAAGTTTTCATTATTATTATTATGTCAGATAAAAAAAGAAATTCGACCATCTACTGCAAAAGAGAACCATGTATAGATGCAAAGCAGTGCACGCTAACGATTACACTGGCCGCTACGTGAACGCTGGCGCTTATGAAGCGAAATTCAAAAAAGACACCCTTGACTGCATTCCAAACGCGCAGTCCAGTGCCCACGTATACCGCGGGCTGGCCAGTTAACGGTTCTGCAGCCCGATCACTCGGTTTTACACTAGCAGACGCTGCCTGCGTCGGCCTTGCGAGATGAGAGAGGCAGAAGGGAGCGACAGTTTTGCGGGTGTCTCCATGGGCCGGCACCAGACGCTAGCATGCGCAGTGAAGCTATACGGAGGGACAGTCTTACGCAGGCTAATCAAGGAGCTGCTTCGCATCTAAAGGACCCTAAAACTTCCCATTTTTCCTCAACACAGTCGAGGCTGTTAAAAGAGACGTTAGGCAAAATCTTTGTACTATGCAGTAATAATGTTTGTGGTGCGACTGACCTTTCGAAGTGATGACTCAACTCCGCCCTTGTAGACAGCTAGCCGCAGTTCGCGCGGCTTCAGTAGCCGTCCCTCACCGTCCAAGTAGCTTCGGAACTCTCGGTCTCCGAGCGGGGCGACGCAGTTGTCAGACTCTTGCGAGGCAGCCAAGTTAAGTGTCTTCTGAAACCGACTCAGCGTCTTCTCCATCTAGACAGAAAAGAACATCAGCACTGCTCGCCCGGAAGCAGGCAGCGTACCTGGCTGAGGAAAGTGCCGGTAAGCGACGGCTTTGATGGTGCCTTGGCCATGTCGCTTGGAGTGACCACGTCCCATTCTGCAAGGCCTGCATAATATTACACAACCGACTCAGACAAGTTACCGCAATACATGCCGCACGTGGCGATAGTAAACGACACTCAAGTTAAGTAAGACCTAACGTTCAGCTACTTTATAGGAATTCGTTGTCACATTAATGTGCATGAATGCAAGACGCCGACTGTCAACTGAAATGGTGCGCAACGTCGGAAAGGCTCGAAAACGACCTATTATAGTAACAGAGCTGAGCTAGCTGGTAGGTAAAGCGACGACGATCGCCATGTCCTAATGAAAAGTGCCAAGTCTTAAACACGACTCGTATGTGAGTGTTTGCACGCTGATTCAGGAGGTGTGAGACGTGCATTGTCTACAGCATTCCGTCGACCTGCGGTAAAGAATATATTGGGCAATTTGGAAGGTGTATCATGATATTGTACGCGAGAACGCCAATTACTTTCCTACGAGGACGGGTGGAATTCTATTGATTCATCGCAAGGCGTGCATTGTAAGGCATGCGGTTGGAAGGGGTAGGAGCTGTCTGTGTGATTGCAGTGTGCACAATTGGTTGCTCATGTCGGTTTCTTTTTCCCGTTTCTTACGTAAAAATAAAATAAGTTGTCTAGCATCCTTTTTGTTCCTGTCTCTTTTTGTTGTCTCAGTTGCTTCTGCTTTCTTTTGGTCGTGCTGATATTCCCACCATGAAAACACACTACAGCTTCTCCAAAGTCTGCGTACCACCAGCTATACTTGGTGCATCATCATCATCATCAGCCTGACTACGCCCACTGCAGGACAAATGCCTCTCCCATGTTCCGCCAGTGAACTAAGTCCCATGCTTGCTGCTGCAACTTTACACCCATAAACTTCCCGATCTCATCTACCCACTTAACTTTGAATGTCCCCCTCAACCACTTCCTTAATTTGGCAATCCTGTCAGTTACCCATCATGACCAGTGGTTATTCTGCCCACGTACTAAGTGCCCAGCCCATGTGCATATTTCTTCTTGATTTCGAGCACGATATTGCCACATTCCGTCGTTAAGTTCTGTTATCGCCCCGTTACACTGTTGGTAATTCTGAGCGCCAACCCCGCCTGCAGTGTTCGAGAATCATCAGGACTGTAGTAGATCGTTTTGTTAAGATTATGCCCACTTCCATAACATTACAGATTTTTCGGGAACCTACGCGGCCGATAGCGATATTGCTAGAATATTCCACGGCGCGTGTATAAATGCCGACGTGCTTCACCACTTGTCAATTGATAGACTACCGACGTTGTGTTCGCCGCTATCAGTGCTAGTTTGTATTGCAGTAGTCAAACCTTCAGTTTCCCGGCCACAAGTTCAGCAAAATAAACACTTTCATCTCTTACCTTCAGTCTGATCCATTCACCAACATGGAGACTCGGTGGCACCCCCGTAAAGCCGTTAACCTAGCCCACATGGCTGAGAAGACACCAACAGAAGCCACGAGCAGCAAACAAGCCGCTGGAAGCAAGGTCTACAACCAGACTACGGGCCTCTACAAGACACAACTCGGAAGACCAAAGCCATGACCTCGACTGCGGCAACGATGGAAACCACCGCGCCACAGCCAGCGATTGTGATGCAGCAGCCAAGGGAGCCGCCGACTTTTCCTGGGTCATCGTTTGAAGACCCGGAGTCTTGGCTGGAGATCTACGACCAAGTGACCAGCCTCAAACACGGCGACACAGAAGATAAGCTCTGTCACGTTTACTTCATTCTATCTGGAAGACAACTCAAAGACCTGGCTCAAAAATTAGTAGTCTGCACTTCAAACATTGGATATCGTCTACGGAGCATTCTTGGAAACGTTCACGAGTGTCGGTCGCAAAGAGAGGGCCACTGCTTTGCTCAAGACCCAGGTGCAGCTACCAAACAAAAATGTCACTATTTTCACGGAAATGACGCGCCTATTCCGACAGGCCGACCCCAGTATGACTGAGGAGAAGAAAGTGAGCTTCCTCATGAAGAGTGTCAAGCAAGAGCTCTTCACCTGATTGATCAGGAACCCACCGAAGACTGCCGCTAAATCCGCTTCGGAAGCATCCACAATTAAGAAGAGCTTCGAGATGCGGAAACGGCAATACGACCACACCTTCTCGGTTACAAGCTACGGTGCTAAGAACCACCGAACTCGCTGAGGCGATCAAAACGATTGTGCAAGAGGAGCTGCGAAAATTGCTACCTTCAGAGCAACCTCAAGCTGACTCAAACGCGGAACTGTGGCAGCTTGGGCTAGTTGGTATGGCATGACGATAGTTATAGCGCGAGAACAAAACGACGACACAGAGACGACACAGAGACAGCGCTCGTGTCTTTCGTGTCTTTCGTGTCCTTCTTGTGTCTGTGTCGTCGTTTTGTTCTCGCGCTATAACTATCGTCAAACGCGGACGTCGTACGCCAGCAGATACAATGATCTTGCTTTAGCGCAGCTCAGTTTGAGCGGAAAAGAAGAAGCTATACAACCAAGAAGTGCAAAAACAAACGACAGTGTCAACGCTAACTTCCAACGCATGTTTATTGCGTACCCTTATACCACATTATATAGCTCAATCCACGTGATGCCGCACACATGATAAAACCGTAAACGTGGGGCATGTCCCACGTTGTCAAGGAAACCTAATTGTTATGTGATCTCAGAACAACAATCCTGTATCAACGCTTCACAGCACACGCTCCAGAAAATTGAGCTTAGATAAGAGCACAGACAGCGTACTCACACACAGCTTTGTACAATTTGCCATAGCGTTGACATCCTTAATTCCCCGCGTCAACTGGTTACGACTGCGGCCCAAGATGACACTGGTCCAAGCATGGAGTGCATGCACACGTCTTACAATGCATAACCAGGAAACCACCAGAAGAAACATTGTTTTTGTTACATTGTAAGAGTCATCGCGCAAGCGGTCATTCACACACCTACCAGTCTGTCCTATGTAAACCGCGCCACGCGACAGCAATAACATGTAGCGACAGCTAGGGAACATTCAACAAACTTAGCTACATGCTTCTTTCCACAGATGGGTCGCACCTCCTTCTTGGGCTTCCTAAGCTTACATAGTCAACTTTGTCTGGAGCAGAGAATACTACGCGGACACTTCTTCCCCTCAGCGCTATCTTTTTCAAAATGGTATGAAATTTGATGTACATACGGTATGACACTCGTTTTCCCAGCATAGGGATCACTGTTGTTCTGCGGCCGTCCTCGTATACGTGGCCCATGCAACAGACACTCAGCTACCGAGGTGTCATACCGTATGTACGTCCAATTTCATACCATTTGAAAAAGATAGCCCTGAGAAGAAGTGTCCGCGTAGTGAATAGCCTGCCAAGAATAATCGCTTGCTTTGTCGTGCAAAACTAGCGGCCATAGTGTGATGGCATGACTTCATCAGCGCATATATAAAAATAACCTCGCAATCCCTCGTTTTACCAGCTTTCAATGCGCCGAATCGTTCTGCAAGAGAGGCGTTTTCGACCGCGGCTCATAGAACCAGCAAGTGCGTTCAAACGAACAAGAGAGACGAAGGTCAAGAAAGCAGATTGTGCTTTCTTGCGGTAGTTCATACGTAACTTCGAGTGGTACCATACCTTCCTCAATCATTGGCCGGATTTCTGCAACCTGCAGTTAAACACGAACTCAAGTACACTCAATAAAAAATTGTGTACGTAACGAAAAGGCTTGGGAACCTTCGTCTGAGCGAGCTTATCGGACATAACATCAAGACGGACGAGAAAAAGATCACTCAGTATGCGTTCAATGCACGATCCTATATATACCCCCATTTTCTGTAGATAAACAGCATCGTCCCATTCATTAAAAATTGACAGGAGATAAACGTGTAAAAAGCTCTGAAAAACGCTACTAGATATCAAGGCGTAATTCTGGAACCTTATGGCACCATATTCATCAATGGACTATTGCACTACATCGAGCAGGTTTTTATGAGGAATCGAGTAAAAAAGATCTTTGATGTCAATGGAAAAAGCTTGGTAAGCATCTTTTCTGCACGCTCAAACTGAGTTGCGCTAAAGCAATATCATTTGATTATGCATCAACTTGCCCAGTCAGGAGATACAGCAATCTCTGGGCAATTCTCAGCTTTCAGAGCCGCAGCTGCAGGCCTTGAGCTATGCTCCAGTGATGTGATCGGCGTCTGCCCAGAGGACCGGAGCCAGCCAGAGTCTCGGGGAGAGTCGAGGAGAGGAGCCGGGAGCTGCTAACAGTAACTTTTAATTACATTATATACAGGTAGCGCGTTATTACTCGATGAGAGCAGCATCATGGAAGCTCTCGACGGAAGTATGATGCGAGCTTCTGCGAGCTTGTGAGAACTTGTCAGAAGCGCCTCGGCACTCGCATTTCATGTCATGGTCTTCCCAGGATTCCCTGCAGAAAAAAACAATGGAAGCCAGGACAGTCCAATGAAGCTTGTCATCTTCACCTCCGCCTCCGAAAGAAGAAGGTGAACGCCGCCTCCTTCCTAAACCACGAAAGGGGGAAGATGCACGCCCAGTTCAGCCTATGGCGAGAGAGAAAACACTGCACACCACGCACGACACAGTACAGTAGGAAGCCATTGAGTCATACGTGGAAGTCAATTTCGTAGTCTGTTGCAGTGGTGAGCATGTGGCGCCAGGCAGACCACGAATTGTGGAAACAGTGGCATCAAGGCGCCACGGAGAACGTGGGAAATGCATCCACAGACGGTTGTCAGACGCTGGGCCCTTTGCCCAGGGCACCTTGACGACAAAGCAAGCCACCTCGACGGCCAACAACTCTTCCTAATCCGTCAGTCGGTCAGGCGTGTCCAAAGGGTTTTACGATGGCGCCGACGACTTGTGACAACTGGAAGAACGATTTCTCCGTTGTCGCCGCTCTTGGTGCATTTCTGGGAGCGCTGACTCTGAAGAAATCAGGGTAGGCACAGCCCAAATGTCTCATGCGACAAAGCGGCGTCGACCTGGGCAGGCCGATCACAACACCAGCAACCCGCACTCAGGCCCCCCTCCGCGCTCACGTCATGAGGCCGCACCGCCGCAGTTCCACCGCCAGAAAACACCGCCGCCCCCATCGTTGTCATACCACCCGGCAGCCGGCCAGCGATACATGCCGAGAAATACCGACGCTTGGCGTGCTCCAAACCACAGCCGACTATGCTAAGGTTCCTACCACTCGGACTTCTCGATTTTCCACTTCTGGCAACCCACGGGCTGCAACAGCCAGCCAGATCGCACTCGTTTTTCTCGAGCTGTTCCGTGCCCCTTGCGGCGCACTTCAGGTCGGCGTTCGTTTTTCTCGGGTTTGACGGTTCTGGCGATCTCCGGGGAGCTCGAGGGGCGCCAGACGCTTCCAGGATAATTTAGTCGAGGAAGCTCTCTGGAAGGTTTTGGGTAGGTTTAGGGCTAAGAGACGCTGAAAAGATACATTACGCGCTCGCCACCATCTTTGTGAGGACTCGACGAATTACAATGTGGGCGCTTGAGGACTACACCTTTGCTTGTCATTACGCACGGCGTTATCTTTTAAAGCCTGTTTCGCCGTGCGAGATGAGGCGTTTACGAGTGGCGGCGAGTGTTTGAAGCAACTGTTCACCGCTTTTGTTATGTTTCCCGTGAAGCTTCCTCCTGTCCACAACGCGGCGAACCTTGCTTGCTAACTGCGTCCTGCACATGCCTCAAATGTTATGTACTACACGTTCGTACGCACACATGAAGACAGCTCTGGAGGGTTTTTTTTTTTCGTAGTACTTTGTGGAGTCGCGTCTGCTTTCTGTGCACTTAGCGCAGACGATTGTGGCCGAACTAGTACGCCCCATCGTATGATTGCGTGCATAAACCTCTTAAAACTTCCCTCTTCGATCGATCTTCAATGGTGATGGCCCTGATGGTGAAGGCCATAGATCACGACTTTTGTTTTTAACGCGATGCTCGCTGGTCACGAACGGCATGCGAGAGCACTTCGATCTATGGCCAGCATATGTGGTATGTTATTATACGCTACGACGCGTCAACGCGAGAAAAAAAAACGAAGATGAATTCAGAAATGTAGACATCTTTTCACTGCCTATTCCATCGTCGGCTCTCCCTTTTTTCGCCTCTGCGTAATAATGCCGCGCAGAGTCTACGGTTATGACCTAGTAGGCCAAATGAAACCTGACAAACATTACATTTTTAAGTGCCACTTCGAACTAAAAAGCAGGCACAGGCAAGTCCCAAAACGGGTCGAAAACGTGTCATGCAAAAGTTTAGTTTAGATACGATGCGCACTCGTGGCACCGATACCTACGCATGTCTTGATTGATTGATTGATATGCCAGTTTAACGTCCCAAAACCACCATATGATTATGAGAGACGCCGTGTTGGAGGGCTCCGAGAATTTCGACCACCCAGGATTCTTTAACGTGCACCCAAATCTGAGTACACGGGCCTCAGTGGGTACGACAGAGGCGCCGAGAGCATGATTCTAAGGGTACATTCTTACACCATTAGAAAAAAGTTAGTAATCAGTTAGTAAACGCGTGTGTTTACTAGTTTCCGGAGCATTTTACTACCTTCGTGGCGTACTTTTACTGGCTACCAGCTAGTACAGCTAGTAATTTTAGCCGTTACTAACCAGGGAACCTTTCTTGGTGTTTTTAACTAAGCAACAACTAAGCCACCTACGTTGCCAAATTGACCGTAGATGCCACTGTACATTTTGCCGTAATGGTGACATTGTAAGCAAAATTTAGGCAAGCTCTAATTTTATTGACTACCCTGAAGTAGAAGTTTCGTGCTACGTAATGACACACACATAAGTAAATAGAAGGGGACATGATGATGCATAGAAAACAAAAATTATCATATAAATTCTGTGACTGCTAACGAGTACTTGGTGTGCGGTTCCAAAGCAGGGGTATATATAGTCTTCAAGCTGCTGCTACAGTAGAATTCTGTTATATCAAGTCTTGAAGAATTGCTTGTGCATGCATTTGCATGGGTTTGCTCGTAATCCGCTCATATGAGTTCTCATACTCATATGAGCATATAATCATGCGAGTATGAAAATAATATGCCTGTGTGGATCCATATGAGCATATCATACGCTGATATGAATTCATATGAGTATATGAGATGCACATATGATCATACATTTGTGAATCTGACTTCATCACATGATCAAGTCGTCGATTCTCTATAAGTATGTTGCTGTGCTGGGCAGTTATCCCAGTATAGTCACATGGCGTAATTAAGAGTCATTTATATTATTGAGAGCCATGTCCATTCGTTTTTTTTATCCTATGTTTTCGTAATGGAATGGTATTATTATGGCTATGCACATGAACATTTCACAAAATAGGCGTAAACCTCATTTGCTGGAGTTACTAACAATTTAGTTATGAACTAATCCCTCGAGTCAGCAATATTCACTTACTAACTAGGTAGTAATTTTAACTACCCAACCACATACTGCCTTTACCCAGCTTGTTAGTATTTGCGCTAGTGCTTGTTACGAGCCCAACAAGGTAGTGACTTTCACTAGGGTTACTTTTACTAGCTGCATTTACTATCTGGCTAGTGGACCTGTGACAAGTAACGGGCTTGAACTTAGTGAATATGCCAACCTTTTTTCTAAGAGTGTGGAAAACTAAGAACAGCAACTGACGAAGTTGCGGTTGCTGAACGACGACTGATCCTGCAAGCTCACAGGCCGCTCGATCATTTATAGAATTATTTGATTATAAATTAACGGTGAGGTCAGACGCACTGCAGTTTCGCCAGCTTGTCTGCGATCGTATAAGGGTGAGCCCACATAACACAGATTATGGTCGAAAATTGGGTGTCATGACCCCTTCAGCACATGTGTCCTGATGCGGCACCACAAAACACTTTCAAAAGAGTCAGAAAGAGCTGGTGAAATTAGAACTAATGTTGCTATATTGCAGGCAGCAACAAGTAGGCCATTTCAACTTTAAAGCACCCAAATATTCCTCGCCCTCCAGATGGCAAATTTGATAGTTGACAAAACTGACGGCGGAGGGAAAGAAAACCACTCGGCGGCTTCATGGGCACGAAAACATTCTCAGTAATATTTGTACTGTCCGTTATGAATTGACCAAATAAAAAACACATAAGTCTATGTCTTCAAAAATAACAATAGTATACCTACGGTCTCCATCAGTGTGTTTACTTTTTTCCTAGAATCGTGTAAGGAGGAGACACACCGCTTGCAAAAACCGTGTCATACGTCGGTCACCTGTCTTGTTATAAACACGCTACGAATGTGCTCACCAATGCATACGCCAAGACTTCGGCACAATAGCACATCTAGTGGTGCAGATCTACTACGGCCGCCACACCGTGCTGCTTGATTCAGGCAGCACGCTCATAATTATTACGGCAGTATGCGAACATGCATAAAGAAAAAAGACAAAATGCTCACGGTTCATATTAAAATTTTCCAGTTCCCTGTGTAGCCTCTAGCATGCTCGTTGAAATTAAAAAAGAGCAAAACACTCATATCCCTGAGACAAAGTTGCATTCCTCCACTAATAATTGAGGCATTCGAAAAAAAATTGCGACAGGTTATTTCTGAAACAAAAACCTCTGGTAACCAAGTCATTCGAACTTTGTTTGCAAAACTACTGAAGGGCTTTTTCATGATCAGTTCGAAGTAAGTTGTGAAAAGATCGCCAGAGTATAAATAAAACCACAATGCAACACTGACAGTGTTTCTCGTATACAAAGTGAAAATTGTTCATAAGGATTTCAGAAACAGCAAACAGTTACACACTCTTGTCATATGGCTTGGGCTCGACACGCAGTTTTAGGCAAGGCTCGGAGGAGCTCAGAAAGGCAGCGTCCAGGTCCCAGTCAGAGAGCAGGCCAAGGTATGTGTCACCTCCTTCATCATCACGTGCCAAATAGCTCACTGTGAACTCCCTGCAAAAATTATGCAGACACTGCTTCAATGCGATGCCGAACAAAACAATGAACAAATGCAAAAGTCAACACCGTTTCTCCAGAAGGGGCAAATTAGTGAGTGCGCTAGGAACGTGTTCCAATATCATATGTAATAGAACTGCAACATTACAAAAAATTTGTAGTCAGAATGAGCCCTGTCTGGGTGCTGCGGCGTGGCTAGGTATATATGAAAACAGCCAGAGTGCAACAGCCAAAATAGTTCAGAGCAGTTTTTGGAGCACTAAAGTCCAAATTTGGAGCAGCATAAAAACGAAGTCTTACATTTATAAAAAAAATATCCAAAAATCATTCAACACTCCCTACATCTTGCACAGTGAATGTGATCCCTGCTATATCAATAAAAGTAATATTCTAAACTACCCGTTACAACAAACAATGATCAAGTCCAAACTAACACCAATGTCACCAGTCAACTCTTTTGCGATCCTGGGAATTAAAATGTGGATCTCCCAAGCTAGTGGTTTTGAGATTCAGGATATTCATAAAACTGAGGAGTAGGAGTGTCGAAGAGGAAAACACTGGAACATAGCATTCTTCATTTTTTTGGGCTGCAGAAATATCATACAGTGCTCCAAATTATTGCCAGTAACCGTTTTTTCGATGTCAACGATTATAGTAGTACTCACAATTCTGCAGCGTATACACGCATGAGTAATTCAACAAACTGTGTACCTCGTGACTATAACATTAACCGCACATTCCAAACCTTAATACGCTTTTTCGCAGGCACTGTTGTGCAGCGGTGAAAGTGGTGACGTTCTGCGCTGTACAAGGCCAAGAAATTTTCTAGACACTATCCCCCCCCTTTTTTTTTTCTCGCGATCGGGTTACCTTTATAGGCGCAACTCCGCTCGCTGGCAAGACGCGTTCGAACAGATATTCGACAGTTATTGTTTAACGTTAGCGTGATAGCAAAGGTTAAGGGAATGTCGTTACCATGGAGGAAACGTTCATAGCGGACAGCGTCTCATAGTTAAGCGGGATAGCGTTTACGTGCACCAGAAGGCAAGGTGGTGCCACCTGTCGGAGAGTTGAGACTTAAGATCAGTGAAAAAACAACAAGAAAACGAGAATTCTGTTTATGTCACCACGCAAAGCATTGTTACAAGTTTATTTTAGTAATAATGAAAGTAAATAATCATCACCCACACATCAAACGGGAAACATTTGATTGATATGTGGGGTTTAACGTCCCAAAACCACCATGTGATTATGAGAGACGCCGTAGTGGAGGGCTGCAGAAATTTCGACCACCTGGGGTTCTTTAACGTGCACCCAAATCTGAGCACACGGGCCTACAACATATCCGCCTCCATCGTAAATGCAGCCGCCGCAGCCGGAATCAAACGAGAAATATTTGTGTTGCCGATTTGTTTGTCATCGATCTTGTAGTTAGGCCTAGACAAGAACAAAATGGGAAGCTGTCTCAAAAACTGCGCCAACTTATTCGTAATATTCGGTCGTCGAAGCTAACTGAAGGCAAGCGAAGCCACTTCAAACAATCGTTTGCTGCGAACAAAGTGAATCTTTCAACAACTACGCGAAAATCACTTCCGAGCGGGCGTCGAAGAGAGCCACCATGTTTTTGGAGAGCTAGCCAGGGATGACGCGAGTGGACGTGCGGCCCGTCAGCTCCGTCAACTGTTCAATATTTTCGCAGACCCAAAGCCTTGCCAAATGAAAATAGTTTCCTCGTGTTCCTAACGTCAAGAGGGACCAGCGGAGACCACATTTATGCAGGTAAGACAAATTTTGGAATTTCCACGCCAACTTGAAGATCTCGCCACTCGGACGCAGCGCGCAGCCTCCTTAACGGGAGACACGGCGCGGCTGCTCGCCGGCGTCTCCCGACGATGGCGGCTCATAAGATCGTTGAATACGACCCCACATCAATGCAGTGGGCCGAAATTCAAGTATCGGCAGCCGAAGACGACGCCCCTACTAAAAATGAATGCCTCCAAACATTGATTCGCCTTCATCAGCAACGGCAGGCACGACAAGATCCGAAGATGTCTGCAAAAATAATGCCGGTCTCTCCCTGCAAAAGCGCGTTCAACCGACGCCACCTCAGCAAAGGGCATCAGTGCCCTACACTCTAAGGCAAAATTACCCAAAAAGGAGTAACGGGGCCCAATAGGCACGGGCGATGAACGGATAGACCGTTAAGGAGCAACCACAGAGGGAAGCGTGCCGCGCGAAACCACTTAGTCTCCAAACACGCTCCAAAGGGACGAACCACCCGGGGATTGCAGGCAGCGCAAAAAGCGTTGCCAAGGTGACTGGCCGTCATTCTCCTCCTCTGCTGGCTCAGTCTTTCTCCGTATTTTGCTGGCAACGGTTCACGTTGCGTCGCGCTTGGAGTGCTCGACCACGGCCGCCTGGATACGACGATCTTGGAATTACGACGTGTTGCTTGTGTGTACGCTTGGATGAGCGTGGGCTGCTCCCTTTGCATTTCGCTGCACCCAAGAAGTTTGGAGCAAGTCTCTACACGTCACCACGCCGCACTGTATATCTCTGGCTTCAGGATAGTCACGACCAACACACGACAGCAACAGTTGGGAAGGCCAATATGGCGGCCGAGAAAACAGCAGGCCTACCGGATATATACTTCAGTCCGACTCAGGGCAAAAATCAGCGCTGGATTCTTAAGCAAGAGGTTATCATTCTTTATTCTACTTTACTTGTCGCGTGTGCGATACAGATCGCACTTGCCGGCAGCGGGCTTGGTCGTGTTGTATATCGCACGCACGAAAGAAATGCATCGCGAAGGTCAGCTGCGGCGTCAGCAGTTCGCCTGCACTTTGCGACCGCCTGGAAATTGGCCGCCATTGCCGTCGGCCTCCCGTGCGCTCGCTCATCGTGTGCTTGCCTGTCTTCGCCGCCGCGATGAGCTCCGGGCTGACGATATTGAGCTGAGACCTAGTCGCGGCGTTGGGAGTCATTGAAAACACGTTGCGTGTTCTCGTAAAGAGCTTGGTTGTAGTATGTCACGCGCTGTAAGTGCACCAGCACGGGCTGGCGGGGCTTTCGCTAGCGTCGGAACTCACTGAAAATTGGTCGACAATACAGTTGGCTTTCCCGTCAGTCGGTCGCAAGCAGCTCGGCGCCGTCCGTTGGCCACGGTGGCGGACTCGCGTTTGCGCGCTGCACTCGCTCGAGTTTGTGGAAAAGGGCCGCATTACCGTCGATTTCTTCGGCACTAGCTCCAAACCAGCTCGGCGCTGTTCGTGGCGGCGGCCAATCGTACGCTCACTCTCCTGTTCAAAGTTCACTGGCGGCAGACACTCTCCGTGCAGCGCCGTGTTTGATCTCACGTTCGCTTGCTCGAGCTGAACGACGTCGCTCGCTTAGGACTCGCCGACTAGTTAGCAGCACGCAAGGTCAGGGAGTTGCAGCTGCGGCCGCCGCTCCTAAGCTGTTGCGCCACGGGGATCGAAATGAGTCTTTGACGACGTGTGACATCACGGTGAAATTATTACCATGTCATATCTGACGTATGTTTCCATTTCACCTTGCACGTATTTCTCATATGCATTTGTATTCATCCTCTGACACGTGTGACTCACTATTTTACATACTTATTGTGCAGCCGTAGGCACACACCGTGCTGAAGAATGTGTCGCTGACGTCTGCGATGCATGTCAACCGTCTCTTTCGTCAGAGCAGCTTCGAACGGACTGTGCGATATGTGAAGGTAAAGTTGTTTGTGTGTCATATTTTAACCCTTGTTTCTATATTAACGTGCAGGTATTTGTCATATGCGTGCATCTTCATCTTCTGTTACGTGTGTCTAACTATTTTTTACTACATTATTGTACGTGCAGCGGTGGGAACAAAACAGACAGAAGGCTGCGTGTGCTCGAGTCTGCAATGCCTGTCATCTATCGCTGCCGTCGGAGGAGCTCCACAAGGAGTGAACAAGATTTGATAACGAGACTGGACTTGTGCACTTCACCATGAATTCACTTTAGAGAATGGAGAAAGTTTGTGTGTACGTAGAAAAATAAAAGATTTCGGTGTCTCACTTTTGTCTTTTGTTGTTGCCGTGACTGCGAAAGCAGTTACAGATGGGTGGCTAACTACTTTTTTGCGTGTTCTTATCTGCGCGACTTGTTGCTCACTGCGAAGAAAAACAGGCGAAAAAAGTATTAGGCCTGGCGGAAAATAAACAAAAAACAATGTTTGAACTGGGTACAAAAGTTCATCCGATTGAGGTATTTGAGTGGATCAACCGTTCGTCCGGCAAGGTACAACTGTGAGGACAAACCGTTGCCCGGTACGGCGTAAATGTGGGTATTAACAGTTGCCCTATAAGGTGCAAATGTGAGGACTAAACTTTAGTCCTCTGAGGTGGATTGTGAGACTAACGGTAACTCACTAACGTGTAATTGAGAGGACTAAATGTTAGTCACTTGAGCTCGTTTGTGGGGACTCACTGTTAGACCCATTGCGGTTAGTCCTTAAAACGATTAATGGTTGTGGCAGCCCCATTAGTCCCCAAAAGGACGAACCACACACTTTTTTAACATTTCGCCTTAGAGTGTACCTTAGTCTCAACGCAACACACTCGCGCGGTGGCGACCGGCTCAGGCGCCTCACGTGCGCTCCGAAGACATGATAATTTTGCTTAAGCCGCGTACTACGCTAGACATTCGGAAAGTGTTCCGCCACGGGGACGCTGGCACCGCAATTGCCGGCCGCATCACTGGAGTCACTGCCGGGGACCTGAATGTGTGGCCTATTTGGGAAGAAAATGTGTTGGTGTGCACTACCCAAACACTGCGTGTCGCCGATCAACTCATCAAGGACTTCGATTTGCGAGTGGGAGAGGCATCCTACTCATTTAGAGGTCATCTGAAAATCAACGGGGAGGTGTGCCACGGCGTCATCTCTGTCCGCGAAGATGAAACATCGGAGTCCCTCAAGTCCGAACTATACTGGCGCGAAGGTGAAAT